GTTTAAAGTAGCTATTGATAAGTATGTACTTACTGCCATTTTTTATCTTTTTTTTTCCTCAGTGTTTTAGTAGTCCTTCTATGTTCCTTTCTCCTTCTATACAGAATTGATGGTCTCTTTGGTTTGATCTCTGTCTGAAAGCTCTACTTTTTAACTCCCTTCCTCCATCATTTTATGTTTTTGGTATCATATCTAACCTCTTTTTGGTGCATTTGTACCCATTACCCTCTTATCATGGAAATAGATAATTTTTCCTATTTGTGGTCTTCTCTTTTCCCCTGAAACCAGTCCCTTTAACATTTCTTGTAGCACTGGTTTCTTGGTGACAAACTCCTTTAATTTTTTGCTTGTCTGGGAAATTTTTGATCTCTCCTTCCATTTTGAATGATAATCTTGTTGGGTAGAGTATTCTTGGCTGTAAGTTTCTTCCTTTTAGCACTTTAAATATATCATGCCCCTCTCTTCTAGCCTTCTCGTCAGCCTTCTAGCCTGACTTCTAGCCTGCTGAGAAGTCAGCTGATAGCCTTATGGGGTTTCCTTTGTATGTAACTTGTCTTTCTCTTGCAGCTTTTAGGATTCTCTCTTTATCTTTAATTCTGGACATTTTGATTATGATGTGTCTTGGTGTGGGCCTCTTTGGGTTTATCTTGTTTGGGGCTCTCTGTGCTTCCTCTATGTGAATGTCTGTTTCCTTCCTTAGGTTAGGGAAGTCTTCATCTATTATGTCTTGAAAGAGATTCTCTTTCCCTTTGTCTTGCTCTTCTCCTTCCGGGACATCTATAACATGGATGTTACTGCACTTGATGTTGTCCCAGAGGTCCCTTAGACTGTCCTCACTCTTTTTAATTCTTTTCTCTTTTACCTGTTCACCTTGGGTAATTTCTTCTAGTCTTTCTTCCAGCTCGCAGATCCGTTCTTCTGTATCCTCTACTCTGCTTTTGAGTCCCTCTAGTGAATTTCTCATTTCCAGCATTGTATTCTTCATTTCTGATTGATTCTTTTCTATATCTTCCATTTGTTTGTTGACATTCCACTGAGTTCATCTATTCTTCTCCCCAGAGCAGTGAGCATCCTTAACACTCTTAGTTTGAACTCTCTGTTGGGTAGGTTGCTCATTTCTGTTTTACTTAGTTCTTTTTCTGGGGTTTTGTCCTATTCCCTTACTTGGAATGTATTCCTTTGTCTCCTCATTTTGCCTCTTTCCCTGTGCTTGTGTCTACGTATTAGGTAGGTCAGCTACGTCTCTTGCTCTTGGATAGGTGACCTTATATAAGTGATGCCTTAGGAGGCCTGCAGTGTGCTTCCTTCAGTTCTCAAAGTTCCAGGGGTGACCCCTCTGTGGGCTACGTGAGTCCTTCTGTTGTGGCCTGTTTGCTCTCCCTGTAGGCGCCCAGGGAGGCTGAGTTATGCTCCTGGCCAGCTACTATAATCCTCAGCTGCTTGTAGTTGTTGTAGGCCCTTCAGTCTCTTTATCAGGTGTGGGGAGCACCAGCACAGTTGGCTGCAATTTCTAATACCACATTTGTGTTGCAGTATTTCTTTTAAGTGAGTAGGCCCCCAGTGTGGCAGGTTGTTAGGCTCAGGGGCTTACAATTGCTATAAGCCTCCAGCCTTTAGGTCTCATGTCAGCTCTCTGAGGATTGCAGCTGGGTAGGGCTGGCCTCAGGCACAGGAGCACCCAATTGTTTCAGGATTTGGAAGGTGGTGCAAACCCCCTACGTGGGTCTTTGAGAAGCACAAGTCTTCTGCAGCTGACAAGCCCTGCCGCCCACAGGTCCACACACACAGTCAACACAGTCCTGCCCCATGTGCGTGCCCTCACCTCCTGAAGTGGACCCAGTCTCTTCATGGCAGGAGCCCCACACATCCACCACCGCCCCACACTTTCCACCAGCTCCTTGTGCAGGCCCTGCCCCACTGAAGTCGGCTCAGTTGCCAGGCTGCAGAGAATCCAGTCACCAATCTATGCAGGCCCACAAGTTGCCTGAGGGCTTGTTGTTGGGTGGGGCCAGTCTCTAGGGTGGGCTGCCTGCCCTGGCTAAACTGGATTAAATCAGTGCTCTAGTGGGTGGGGCAGACCTGGGCTAGCAGGCCCCAGGGAGAACTCCAATGGTGTCTGTGTCAGCACGCCCACACCAGGCCACAACAATGGCTGCCGCCAATGTCCCAGTTCCTGGAGAGGTCTCACCTCTCACCATATGCACTCAGGGCCTATCAGGTGAGTCTCTTTTCACCAAAGCACTATGCACCTTTCTTTCTGGTGATTTTAGGTTGCTTTCTGAAATGGGTGAGTTTGCACGTGGGCCCTTTAAAAGCCGGTTTTAATTTCTTTGTGAACCAGCTTTTCTGGGGGTACTCCCCAATGTTTTAGTAGCAGGCAAAGTCAGATATTATGCCACTCATCTTGATTGTGCTGGGTCCACAAAATGCCCACAGCAGGGGCGGTCCCCAGCTCAGGGCCCCGCGCCTCCAGGGAGGGCTGTGTACTTTTGGGCTGCTTCCGGGCGGCTGTGAGGCACTGCGGCTTGTGAAGGCAACATTTTTCCTCTTCAGAAGGGAGTTTCTGCCTCTTCCACCTCAATTAGGTTTGTCATTTGTTGCAGGAGTTCCTCTTATCCAGTTTTCAGTTCTGTCTCAGAGGTAATTTTTCCATGAGTAGTTGTAAATTGGTTGTGTCCGCAGGAGGAGGTGAGTTCAGAGTCTGCTTATGCTGCCATCTTGACTTCTCCTGGATTTACAATTCTAAAGGGTGTTATGTAGTATTTGGAGATGACAATTTTTCTATTGTATAATTTAGTCTATCTGGGCAGGTTCTGTGTTTTTCCTCCCTATACTTTTTCCTATTCTTTCCTCAAGAAACTTACCAAATTTGTTTTGAAGACCATGTTGCCAATGGAATTAAAATCCTTACCATGGAAAATGAACTTCCTTCACAAATTCATTCATTAAAGTAGCCCTGTATTGCTAAGGAGCTATCTAATAGATTTTCCATTTTATGTAATAATTATGATTTTTATAACATTTTTTTTAGGGTAAAGGTGCTCTTAAATATTAAGTACTTTTCTAGTTTTAACAAAACTATGTAGATGAATTGAGAAACTTAAATATATATATACTTAATTTACAATTATACTTAATTATACTTAATATACTTAATTATAATTATATATATATAATTAGTATTACAATAACTTATAGTCATATAAATGACTCAAACCAATTTTTAAAAAAACAGCAGCACAAAAGGTCTAACTATACAGAACCAAGATAGATAATGTTTATGTGTTTATCACTCTAAGAAACAGAACTTGATTTATTTTCTTTTTCCTAAGGCTCTAACTCAACCTCATAGGAAAACAACCATGTTTTCTTCTAGGGTGAAATGTCTATTTCAATTCTGTAAAATGTATTTTTACCATTCCATTAAAGTGGTAAAATAAAGTCATTGCCTTTTCCATGAAACTCATTTCCTAAATTTGATTTCCTTAGAAATATTTAGTATAAAATTATAATAGATATTATTTTAATTATATGTGATAAAAAACATTATTAATTTCTAAATATTTATTATGTGCTATACACCCACCTCAGAACTTTTTTTTTAACCTAGTGTTTTGTTATATTTTCACCTGAGACCCAAAGACAGAGAGGGTAACTATTAGCATCCTAGCGTATTATATTAGCATGTTAAAGTGAAGTGGGAGATTTATGAAACTAAAAGTGTGAAGTGTGAAAGGGTAAGAAGTCTCACTGCACTCCAAAATATTTCTTCTCTCATATCACATGACTTAGTCTTTCAGACACTTAATTTTGGTAGGAAGCTAAGGGTCACGAAACCAATACATCGGCACTTCTTGTCAAACTCTTGAAGTGTGTTAGGAATTCTTTACCCTTATCTCAAGCCTAGGGAAGGGGCTTCAATAAAAACCCTCAGTGAGTTTGACATATGCTTCCTGGATCTTGGGGGACTCATGGGCTGATGTTGGACATGCCTAACAAATCTAACGGCTGTGTACACGTGGCTGCATACCTTTTTTGAGACAGAGTATTTGGGATGGCATGTTCTCCAAGAGCTTGTTTGGATAAGAATGTATTAGTGTTCATACTAATGTTAGTACATACACATATGTACTATATGTGGGCCAAGTGTATGAAAGAGAACTGTCCTGGGATTGTCTTATATTCCCTCCAAGAGGACTACCCTCAGGAAAGAGATGACCCAACAGGGGTGTAGTCTTTTTGACTGCCAAGTGTGAAAGAGATCTATGTGGCCAGCCAGAGGAGATCTAGTCTCCTGAATTAGTGGAACAGCTTGTGGGAGACCACTAGTGATGAGAAGAAAGACTTGTGATGTACCTCACAAGAACAAACACCATCTTAACCATCTGCCCCTCACAAGGAATGTTAGTGCCATCTCACAATATTGCTAATCAACAGACTTCTTTGCCTCTTAAGTTATAATTCTTTCTTCACATCAATACTAACAGCACCTGAATCAGCCCAGAATTAGGAGAAATGTAAAGTAGGGAAATGGAGAAAAAACATCCACGTGTCCCTTCCCCATAGTAGGCAACTCACTTGGAGCAGTCTAAGTAGAGGAAGGAGAGAAATTTCACTTGGAATGAAGATGAAAGTTTTCATTATTTTTTGGATAGATATATTAACTATTGAACTAATGTTTTTTTTTGACTCTAGGAATCAAATAACTTTTAATTACCTAAGAGTTATTAGAAGTCATGTCACCTGTCCTAGTTTTCATCTAAAGGAGCATATGGAGTGATGAATCAACAGTGAGGAAAATATGTTGTTTTCTGTATATACCCAACAAGCCTGACTTTTTATATGAAACATATATATTTTTTCTTATAAACAGGCATCCACCCTAAATGGGTAAGTATAACTATCCCCCTTTAATAAATGAGGAAAATGAGGCTCAGAATAATTAAGAAGACATAATTAACAAAGATCAGAGCAAAGATTCTGATCTACTATCTGATACAATATACACAGCTTTGGACATTTTATTTGCTAGATTTACAAATGCACTTTGCATTTGAAATTTCTTCTTTATTCCTATGAGGAAGATTGTAGAGTGCAAGTGAAGGGGGAGGCTATAGATAGACACTGATATGTATCTGAAATGTGTCATACCAAGCATTATGAAACACAGAGAGGTAGTATAAATATACATAAAATATATATATATTTAATATATATATACATTTTAAATTGAAGGGTAATCATAAGAATATTAAGGAAAAACAGATGTACCTCTGCTGTTCCTAACAACAACAAAAATTTTGAAAAAAATTATGTGTATGCATTATTTAAAATATAGCTATATATAAATTAAATGCATTAAATATAAGAACATAAGCCAATATTCATCGTCAAATTATATGCCTGTTTCTCATTAATAATCTCTATTTTTATCATTATAATTTATATAGTGATTTTAGAGATAAGATATATAATTATATAATGAATTTTATAACAGCAGATCTAAACTCGTATTCAATTGTCTTATTTAGATTTTCAGAGTTTCACTTTCACTGAAAAACATTTTATTTTTTTATTTTTTTTGCAGGGGGGAAGGAAGCTTAGCCCTGAGCTAGCATCTGTTGCCAATCCTACTCTTTTTTGCTGAGGAAGATTGCCCCTGGGCTAACATCCATGCCCATCTTCCTCTACTTCATATGGGACACAGCATGGCTTCATAAGTGGTGTGTAGGTCTGCACCCAGGATCTGAACCTGTGAACCCCGGGGCCGCCTAAGTGGAGCGTGCCAACTTAACCACTACACCACCAGGCCGGCCCTGAAGAACATTTTAAATCATTTCAGATGTTATAGTTTCTGCTACTGAGGATAACAGATTCCATGTGATCCTTTAACATCGAAACCCACAATACTAATAATGCCTTTTATTGGTTATGATGTGCGTTGATACTGTTTGTGGTAATATTTGTAAACAAATCTATATGCATTCTCTTCATATGTAAGAAATACATTGTAAGTTATATTGGAAAAACAATCAGTGTAAGTATTTAGGGTTAATGAGAGTATAGAACAGAATAACCAATCTGATTGTGCAGAAATTACTTGGTAAATAATCACATACACCAATCAGAAGTAAAGAAAGATTAAAGCTAATATGATGATCAATGCCTTAATTTCACATACATAATAACAACAATAATAATAGTGGTGATAATCATAATATTGAACAGTTATTCTGGGCAGCAATAATATCAATTTTATCTCAATTATTCCTGAAACAGTTTGGATAGAAGAAGCTCTTGCAGCAAAGCAAGAGAAATGTAGCTGGCTGCCAGACAGGTCCCTCAAGGTGGCAGTAATGGTTAATTTGCTGCTGTCCAAATTACCCCTCAGCCAAAATGAACTCTTAACTATCAGGATAAATCGGTCTCCTGTGGGCAGACTTAGATATAGCTTAATTCACACAAGCCAATATAAAAAAAAAATAAAACTAATAAATTGATATATAAGAAAAAAAGACTATTAGAAGACCAGAAATCTAATTCTGTCTTTCTCCAACTACCAGCAAACTAACTGAGAAATTAAATTAAAAACAAATTTGAACGAGTAATTTGGATTATGGGAATTGTTTTCCTGTTCTTTATGGTCCTTGATGTAGAGCGGTAGATAAAAATATATCATTGTTTTAAAATATAGTGTATTAATAGAAAATTTGAGGTATAGTAAGGCCAACAGATCGGGAGACGATTCCCATTGAAAAGACAGTTCATTACTCACAATTCCCACAAGGAGAGGGCACGCCACATTAAATAGGGCCATACAGGAAAACACTGAGGTTGGTGACAGGCAGAGTGTGGGGGAACCGTGGGCAAGAGTGTTTATTGTGGTTTCCACAGGAATGAACAGGTGAGGCAGGTTTAGGATTGGCTAGTTTGAATACTGTCAGTGGGCTCTGGGGCATAAGGCTGTCCCTATTTGAGTGGAACCAGACCCTGGGATGATCAGGAAAAGTACAGTGTAGTGGCCCAGAGTGTGAGAGCCAATGAGAGAAGCAGATGGAGGTATGACGCTGGATTGGTTGGCTTGTATTTGAAAGCTCGCCCTCAAGAGGAGGTCACTTCCTGGGGAGGAGAGTAAGGAGAGAGGCATGATGTCCAAGCAAGGAGACTCAGGCTTGTGTATCTTCAGGGTGTCCAGACAAGGCATGTCCAGCTTATGCATGTAGAGTAGATGATAAAGAATCAAGTTGACAGAAGGTAGAAACATGGTTAATACAATCTGTACGACTGACATGAATACATCACTCTTTTCTGGACATATCAGAGACACACTGCCAAAGGGTCCCCTGTGACTCAATTTTTTTTTTCTGTTTCCATTTCTGCTCCAGCCCTTTAGAAAGAAATCTTTCTTTCTTTCAAAACATTTCCATATTTAAAGGTTGGCTTAGAGTCTTTTATTCATTTTAAGGTAATCTCTGATTCATTATATTATTTTTACAGTTTATTTATCAAAAGGCAGCTCTCTAGGTTTAAGTAATTTGTCCAAAGCAGGTGGTAGTGATTTGAGCCCAAATATGATCAATTCCAAAGACTGTGCTTTACATTTCCGACAAATGTTATCTTTTTTTCTAATTGAGATATAATTCACATAACATTATATTAATTTCAAGGATATGGTTTAATAATTCAATATTTGTATATATTGCACAATGATCACCACAATAAGTCCAGTTAACATCTATCACCATACATAGCTACAAAAATTTTTTTTTTCCTGTGATGAGAACTTTTAAGATCCACTCTCCTAGCTACTTAATGTTACCTCTCCTTGATGGCTCTTCTTATACAAGTGTTATATTATTGTATTTCAATCATTTGTAAAATGTTCATAAATTCCAGGTACAAACAAGATTGAATATACTTTTTTAAAAATTTCTTATTAAGAATTCCAACAACTCCCTCCTGATATTCTTTCTTGTGTAGACTCATCTTGAATTATCCAAAAACCCTAGGGGTATACTAAATCCCCAAAGGGGCATATCCTCTGGAGATGTCAGACTTGAGGGCCATTAGAGTTTAGCTAGCTCACCATGGTGTCTGTTTTTTTATTTTGTTTTGTATTTTGTTGTTCTATGTTGTTTTGTTTTCTACTGCTACACAGTATGAGTATTGACGCTCAGGCAGCCACAGTCTCATGAATAATTCTCTTATCTGAAGCAATACTAGATCAGGCTATCCCATACCTGCAGTGGGCCCATAAATTACCTTAATTGAATACTTTACATTTGTTTAAACAACATGTATCCAAATATCTGGGTTCTGATGTGATTCAGCTGCAGCCGCAGGCTGCTGGAACAAGTCTTCTCCCATAAAAGCCATATATTGGGCTTTTTTTCTTGAAATAGACTTCTGTTTTTTTGGTAAAGAAATTCTATTTGGGGGCCTGCATTGATCCCTGGTATTTCTTCTAAGCTACCGTGAGTTGCCTGGGACTGCCTAACTTTGGATCTCAGTTTCTTCTAAAGTTAGAGATACATTTACCATATGCCCCAGAAATTCCACTCAGTTATTTATTAGAGAAGTGAAAACATTTATCTACCAGAAATTTCTACAGAAAAGGTTATAACAATTTTATTCATGATAGCCAAAAAACAGAACCAGCAGAAATGTCCGTTAACAAGTGAAATGGTTTAAAAAAATGGGAAAGTGGTAATTAATAATGAAAAGAAACAAACTACCAATACATGCAACACCATGAATTCATCTCAAGTATATTTTGCTGAGCAAAAGAGAACATATTGTGAAATTCAGTTTAGGTGAAATTCTAGAGGAGGCAAAACTAGTTTATAGTGAAGAAAAAAAGTTCAGTTTTTGCCTGAGCCAGGGAAGAGGGCTTCAGAGTTGCCTGAAAAGGGTTCAGGAGAACATTTTGGGGTGATGAAATGTTCTATCTTAATATTAGTGGTGGTTACATGGATTTACAGATTAGTTCCAATATACTGAAGTATACCCTTCAAATGGGTGTAGTCGATTTTATATAATTCATACTTCAGTTTTGCAGTTTAGAACAATTCAACAGATTGAAAAAATAAATTCAAGATAGTTAATTTTGGTGTTAAGTGAATCAAAATGAAAAAGAAATTATTAAACTCCTAAATAGTTTTTATAAACTATTTCCATTTCTGGAAAATAATATTTAAAGGAGCTATTCCTTAATCATTGAATATATAAAATATACTTTAATTTCCATGGTCATGTTGATGACTACTGAGGTATCAGAGTTGAGTATACTTAAAATGAATTAAGTTGTGCAGTTAAAACACACTTATATTCTCAATAAACTTGTATTCATTTTTCAGCTATATTACTAAAGCAAAGGAAATTTAAAAAATAACTCACTTTCACATTTAAAGGCTAAACTTAAACAATTTATTTTATGCACTAAGTGATCTTCATTCACTATGAACTATGAGAAATCCCAGCATTAGTTCTATAGTTGAAAATGATACTCTATAAATTTTAATTTATTTACCCAGAATTCATTTTATTCCTAAATATATGGTCATTAGGAGTTAAACTCTCAATAACCTAATTTTAAAGATAATTACAGAAACTTTGTTTCCTGCACTATTTTCCAGAATGATACATTCATAAAAACTCTTGGAAAATACCATACTGTGGATTAGATCTTAGTATCTTTGGCAGAAACAATTAAAGATACTTGAGGATTTTCAAGGAACATACTTCCTAAAGAAACTTTTTAAACATATATTTTTTATTTTCTTCTCTAAATTTTGCTATAAAAATTAATTCTTATGCTAATTTCTCATTTTCTTGATAATAAAACTAAATAAATGGTAATGAAAATAAACTTGAAACACCAAACTTAGAAAATAAAACACATTTAAGATAAAGTGGTCAAATTGAATTTATACAATTTAACATTATTAATACATTTTTGAATTCTGCTTCAAAGAAGATTTAAATAGTATCAATATTTTACAAATAAATGCATTATTCCTGTAGGTGTTGGGCTGGTGTTGGGTCCTGTTGGTGTTGAGTAACTGGGAGTTATTTCTTGAAGTCAAATCATTAAGTGGCACTCAATTGGAATGTCATCAGGCCTATAATTAAATCTCACAGCCAATTTAGGTTAATTGGGATAAACATAAGTTTGAAGAATGCAATATGTTAAAAGTAGTATTGTTTTGCTATTAATTTCACATAACAAGAGCAAACAAATGGCTAACAGCTTTTTGGCATAATAATAGTCTGCCAGATATTCAACTTTCATGAACGCTAAATATTTATGTAAAATAAGACATTAGTCATATATGAATGAACGTCACCAAGAACTGGAAAACCATGTCCCTTTCCTAGTTTAAATATTTCTTCTGCTATATGGTATACATTAATTTTTTAAACATTCCTTATTTTTAATTATGCATATTCAATCTGTATTTGTATTATCACATATATTTAATTTATGGAATTCAGATCAATTGGGGCTTTATCCTAGTCCTATGATTTTAGTTCAATGTAGCTTTTAATGAAATCACTCTTCTCATCAAATTATACAAATTTATCCAGAGATTGATAGCTGGATGAAAATAAATCTAAATAAATATTCAATAAGATTAAATAATTCCTAATTCATAATTAAGCTGATGATAATTTGCAGGAAATAGTTTTGACTACAAGGTTCAGTTTCCATTTAAATCAGAAAATAATCTTGATTTTCTTCATTTTTAATAATTTAGAAATCTATCTATATATATGTCTGCATATACTCAGATATGCTATCCCAAAATAATAATCCTCTACTATCTAGGATAATATTTAAATTTTAATATTTAGAGGGCAAATATGCTTTTGAAACCAAGATAAATTCTTAAAAATAGGGTTCATTAGGTTATTCTAATAATTTTTATTAAAAAAGTATTCTGTATGATGTACAATTCTTATTATATCATCAGTTTTTAAGGTTAACGGACAATGTTGATACTTTTTTCTCTATCGACAAGTGAAAACAGATGACATTAGGTCTGAAATCCCCCCTACTCTATTACTTTCCTTTGAAACATTTTTAATTTTTTCATACGTATCAGTATTACACTTATTCTGAGTGTTTTATATGTAGAAATGTGTAAGATGACATTCAGCTTGCCTCCTGGAGTCAGGTGTATTTCTAACACCTGTCATGTCTCCTAGAGGGAGAAATATCTATGATATCCTTTTTGTCTGAATCTGCAATCTGACACCCTCTCTCAGGGAAGTGATCAGACTACCTCCCAGGAGATGAATGTGGCTGGATTCTTAGCAGGAGATATTTCTTCTAGGTGATAACGTACCTGAACAATTTATCCTCAGTGATGCAGGCTAGTCATCCAGTTATCTTGCTTTTGAAGAGTCATCTCGAAAGACTAGTATATCAGTCTGGATTTAATCAGTAATTTAAACAGGGTAAATTTAATGTAAAGAATTATTAAGCCATGATAGGAGAATAACTACAAAGATGGAAAGATACTCTCAAAGGTATCCTAGGTCTGAGGGGAGAGTTCCTAAGGAAGAACAAACTTTGAAGGGGTTTGAGGGGTAACATGACAATTGGTGAGGTTAGAAGGTGTGGTTGCAGCCCTCTGGATGGTGGAGCTGTTTGGGGAACTGGTTCTGAGCTACTGGGCAAGCAGGAAAAGCCCTCCAGGGCTCAAGTGAGCCACGGCTGGTGGGCGGTGTGCAGAGGGAGTGCCACAGCGGGTTCCAGGCCCGGAGCCCAGGATGACTGCACTGGGCAGACCAGAAGAAGACAACCCTAGGGCCCAGGCTATTTGAGGCTGGTGGATGGGCATGCAGAATTTGCTCATGCACTGCTGCAGGTGCTGCTGAAACTGGGAGTTTGAAACTGCAGGAACCTAGCACACTTCTATGTAGAGCTTGGGCCCGGGTGGGTGAAGGCCACCATGCAGGATGAAGGTCAGGAGGAGGTCTTGCTAAAGGGCCAGTCCCTGCAGGGTCCCTAAAGTGCACACAGGTGGAGCTGATGAGAGGGTGCAAGGAGCAGGGACCTGGTCTCAGTCTCTCTCAATCTTTCTCCCTCCTATTTTCCTTATCTTCCCCCATACTAACAGATATCACAACCTCTGAGCTCCCTTTGCAGGATTATGGCACAGCTTCCAGGATTTGTTTCTAAAATTTTGAGCCTACTGAAGAAGGCTTTGATGCCTACTAAAATTTCAGTAGGCATCAAGGGCTTCATCACTCTGAAATTGAGATGAAAAGGAGTCAGCAAACTTCAGAGGCACTGGCTGTGTAGGACCCAGGCATAGGGGTTTCCCAGCCCTACAAAAGTTATGAGATCCAAAGTGGCATGGAAGCAGAAATCTACCAGGCTCCATGGAGAGCTGAGACAGTGAAGTTGTCAGTAGAAATTTAAGTAGACAATATAGCAGAGTTCTTGAGCCAATTTTCATGATGTCAAATAAACCTGTAGCATTCTGGTGTGACCCTGAGAGAACGAAGGTGATCTCATTAATAACCAAGATAAAATATTTCAAAAACCTGGTAGAAAAACGCGTTTTGAGTCAGAACTATTCTGACTGAGAAGAAATTGAAATTATATTCTTTGCACACCTGAATTTGTGAACTGAGTTTTATACATGCCGTGTCTTTATAGATGTCTGTACTCTGTGATACGTGAGGTGGGAATTCCTCAGACTCGTGAAGACACATATGTTTATCCATTCATGCCCTGAGCTCCTTTGCTTGGGATATTGTATAAAAATGGGTGATGGCAATCCAAATAATATAAATGTTCTCAAGGAATATAGAAGTGAAAATATTGTCAGAAAATATTAATATATGTGTGTGTGTATATATATATGTATATACACAAATACACATGTATACATGTATATACACACTACATAAGTTACACACACGTGCACACACATGGAACACAGGCCTGTTGGTCAGGGACATAGTTTATTTCTCACAACAAAATCGGCACCAGAGCGGCATCTTGTGTCAGCTCCCATGTCCCAATCCCCAGAGTGATGCTATGAGGCCAGATATTTTCTGCATGTGCAATGGAGTGCATCGCAGGAGGGGAATCCTGGATTTTAGGAGACTATGAGTGTTTATAGGGCTACTGGCACGTCTGCCTGTCCTCCTTCCCACTGAGACAGAGAGAGAGAGAGAGAGAGAGAGAGTGCAAATCACCTCTGGGGGAGAGATGAGAGCCATCGCTAGGTTTATTATCCTAGAATGTAAGCAAATGTCTCTGGAAAAGGGAGGAGATTATTTTATCATTAGTGCTGTGGGACATATCTGTGTAGGTACATCTCTATGTCTCTCTGGAGGGATAACATCTCTAGCTTCCAAACCTGTTTGCTAGGGAAATGTGTCCTTTGCTTAGAAGGCCTGGACCATTCAGGAACATGAGAAATGCATGGAAAATTGTCTCCCAACAGAAGATCTACAGGTGAACCTTGTTAAAAGGGCAGTCATGGAGATATTCACAAAGTTTCAGCTCTTAAGTCACTTACTTGTGGATCATTTGTGGGGAGGTACAAAAACTGAGGGTTTAGTCAGGGTCTGGAGGCATAGTTATTCAAGGTATTGAAAACAACCAGGGATAATGTGCTAAGTATTGAGGTTAGAGATGTTGATGTGTACCAAACACTATAGGCTATTGTAGGGCTTTAAAAGATTTTGAAATTACTGTTGAAAAATAGGGCAATAATTAAATGATTTTAAATGTGAGAATAAGAATAAGAACAGATAAGAATTACTAAAACAGTATTTCAGTTATAATGAAGAATTGATTTTGTGTTCAATTGATAAAATGAGTATCACAAAACCAGTTAAATCCAATTAGGAGAACATTAACTTATTGTAGGTCAAGGTAGAGATCACTTAAACTAGACTGGTGACACTGGAGATGGATTACTTTTCTCGAACCCAGGCACAGAAATTATACAAAACTTAGTATGATTGTAATATATATATTAATATTTCTGGAAAATATTACTTTTTTTTTTTGTCTGTTGTGATGGTCAGAGTCATATGTAATACCAAAACCTCAAACATAGGACACTTGGATGTGTTGTGGGGGAGAGGGAAGTCAAAGCAGAGGGCACGAAGGGCTGGTGAGAAGAGCCAAGTGGGGTACAATAATGATCCACTGCAACTGAGTGGGCTCGCGCTGGACCCAGGAAACCACTTGCATCCAGCATGACTGATGTGCTGGATAGGGTATGCCCTCAAGCCTTTAGAAATCACAGAGTTAGTGACTAGATGGGAAAGTTCTGGTTCCGTTAGGTTTGTTCAGTTTGAAGCAGGGAGTCAGTGAACCTCTGGAGAGTACAGGGGCCATCAGGTCCTCCAGCAAGAATGGTTAAAAGGATGGTAGAGAGGTTGATGTCCCTGCCAAGTGCTGAGCGTTAGCATAGGGAGTTTTGCATTGATGGAATAGGAGTGCATACTAGAACCAGAGGGAATAACTAGCATAGAGCAAAGCTACAATGTCGTAGCTTACCCAAAAACACTGCAAAATTAAGTGTCATTGTAAAATTCATTATGTTTTCAAGAGGAGGTTTTTATGTTCAAAAGATTAGTTTGAGTTTACTTTGGTTTCAAAAATTAATATTCAATTTATTAAAGTTACAAATCCCAAATCTAGTTTTTCTTTAGGCTTTTAAGCTCTACATGTGAAAATTTCTAAGTCTAGTAAAATTTTACTACCTATTTTAATGGGCAATTTACAAACTTAGTTAATTAAACACTTTCAACATTTTAAACTGCATTCATAAATTTAATATATTCAATTTCTTTTTAAGTATTCCAATTGTCTAATTAACAAATAAAACCTTCCTGAATATTTAAATAACTCATATAAATTTAATATAGTAAGCTAAACCATAAGTTCTCTTAAATGTTATAATACTGAATATGAAATTAGTAAATCTATACTAATTTCTGAATTGCAC